TAAACACATGGACAGTTGATTGAGGAGGAAACACCTACTCATAACGGCCTCCAACCTGGCTTGAGATAGCTGAGTCCTTTGACTGGGTCCTTTCCCCTGCCTCTCATGACTGGACATAGGTCTGCAGGGAACTTTCCTAGATATAGACAAGTGAAGTGTCTAGGGTCTCAATGTGCCTGTGCTATTGTGCCTGTGTCAAAGGCAGCACATTGCTCTTCTTACCCAACACACATATCTGAAGATAAAAACAGATTGAAATGAACTCTGGTTCTATTCGGAAGTAGTTTGAAAGCATTGATAAACCTGGATTTGACTTGCCCTTTGCTCTCATATTTCAGGACCAGCTTCCATATTCCGTTTTCAGAATCCCAGACAGAATATTGAGATATACTTTAGCTCTCGGTAGCAAAGAATCCTAGAAAAGAACTTCTATAAAAGAAATTTGAAAGCCATTTTCCTCTCATTGTGTTGTAATCAGGAAAAGTGTTAGGAAGATCCAGGGGAAGGGACACCCTCTTTCTGACCACACTGGCACTCAGGGACAGCAATAATTTCAAATGTGCACCTGGATGCCTGTGAGATCCTCAGTATACTTAGAGAAATTGAGTTCTTTAGTAATAGAAATTGACACAAGCCAGCTTGTTGGATGTTGAGTTTTATTTTGGTTCTTTCATTCCCCACAAATTTGTAGCTCAACAGCATATTCCTTTTAAAGTCTACCTGAGAAATGGTTCAAAAATAAGGGAGTGTGTTCACAAATCAAGCCTGCAAGAGACTCTCCAGTAGCAAAAACTCCTCCAATCCCTTCTTCCCACAGTCCTGAAGGAATGAGGAGGGTGCTTCAAATGTCTTCTCAGTGCCCTAGGACAACATTGAAAAGAGCTCTCAAAGCAGCCTGGGAAATCCATAACCATCTTCACCTTTTACCTATCAATTTTTACTTTTTATTTTTAATGTTTTTATGTAAATTTTTATTTTGAGTAAGCATCTCAAGACCAAAACTGCACAGGGTAATTACCTAAACAAAAAAGCATCATAGTATTGCACTAAGGCCAAAGGAAACCAAAACTTACTCAATATATCAGAAGTCCCTGAAAAAATACTTTCAACTGAATTTTAAAAGAACTGTTGATCTTAGGCTCTGAGGCCTCTCCATTTTGCCACCAAGCATGATGGGGTCCAGTTCTTTCTCTGTTGGAATTCCTCTGAAACTCTTCACTGATGTAGACAGAACATAAAATACAACTGTAATTTCATTTAAATCAATTAGAGCTGAGGCTGCTCACAAAGTGTGCAGTGTATGTTTACTGAAGGAGTGAAGGTGATGAAAAGGGAAACAGCAAACATTCTAATTCAGCCATACCTCTCTTCAAAATCACAATGAGTATGATTGGATAAAATTTTATTTAAATAGATGAGTAAACTGAAACCACCTTTGTGTCAGGCTTAAGCTTCAATGTTACATCTTATATTTGAATTTGCGCTGTGAATATGCTATTCAACACTTGAGATTTTATTCATGGGAATTAACTACAAGAACTTTCAAAATAGGATGCAAAGAACAGTACATTAGCAGGTTCATTGGGCTTTGAATTTAGCCAATGGCTCCGGGTTTTGACCTGTTCACCAGGGCTTTCAGCTGAGTAAAAGAATTCCAAGATTCTAGAACAATTCATGTTTGCATTAGCAGTACAGTATAAACATGTTTCAAATCTGAAAACACAATTGCAACTGCCATCGAAGCATAAGTTTGTATATTGGACAAATCACTGTTCCACTGTTGGTAGTGGCCTTCCTTTGCCTTGAAAAACATCGTAAATTAGCCTATACTTTTGCTTACAAAACGTTTTCAGGAGAATTTTACTGAAGTAATCATAGAGTACCAGTGTGTTTTATGTATTTGTTTTTAAAGAGTTTGAAGGAAAGGCAAGTACTGGGCCACTGTGAAGGCAAGAGGTTTCAGGGAAACACAAGCTTTGGTCAAGCCCATGGCTTAAGGGACAAAGCTAAGAGTCAAAGGCTAAATACTACTTGTTTTCCTGATATTTAAGTTCAATCACATTTATTTCTTCTTAAGTTCTTTAGAAAATAATCCTCTAAACTGTGGCCTTTCCCTTGGGGGGAAAACGGAGGGACCATTTTCTTGCAAAAATTCTGTCACCATTGGCCGGTATGTTCATTCTCAGTGAATAAGCTCCTTTAACTCAAAGAGCTCAGATGCTTACAGAGAGGAGCATTCACATTGCTAAGATGAACCCGAAGGCATTCATTCTCTGAGCCTTCAAATGCTCCATTCAAGAGCCAAGACCCTGGCCATTAAAGAATTTGTGGGTTAGTCTCATAAAACCAGAGCATCCTCCTTAACTGCCCTCGGGTACTACAAAAGGAGCCAGGATGATCATTTCAAAGGGGGTGAAAAAAAAAAAAAAAAAGGACCCACTAAAGTATGGAGGAAGGGGCTATGCAAAGAAAAAAATGTCTCTCCTGGGAACTTGGGTGCTATATAAGCAAAGCAAGAGAAAATGAATGCCACCTATTTAAGCCACAATTCAGCCACTGTAACAGTGCAGATAATTCCCCAATGAAGTATTTTTCTTATTGTTAATCAAGAGTCATAGATGGAAAAAAAAAGGACCACTGTAACAGTGTAGATAATTCCCCAATGAAGTATTTTTCTTATTGTTAATCAAGAGTCACAGATGAAAAAAAAAAAAAAAAGGTCTATTCTTTGAATTACCATATACCCTATCTCTTTAAATTCACTTTTTATGGAAACTACATAATCTTCCCTTTCATTAAAATTGCCCTTGTTGGTGGATGCGAACCAGGTCAATATCTGCTGGATTTGCATATTTTCATTTTTATCCCTTTATTCAACTCTCTGTTAAAGATGTAACAGAGAAAGAGCTGGACCCTGCTACAAATAAAGCAAACACTTCTTACATGTCTTGGTGAGCTCTTACACCTTTACAGATTTTTTTCCCTCTTTTTCTTGGGGCTGAGAGTCCTATCAATAATCATGACTTATTAAACAGCCTGCCATCCATTCCCTTCTACAGAATGTAGAACAAGAGCATCGAGGGGCAGAAATAATTACCGTGGGCTTTCTTTAAAGACCTCCTCAGAATGGAAGAAGGCAAAGAAATCAATAAAGGACAGGGAAATGCCCCCATCTTCCTCCCACCCCACATACACAAGGTTTAGAAATAAACCCAGAATCCATTATTCATATCAACTGCTACAGAAGAGAGCAAAAAATCTAGGCACCTATTTCACTCCATTGAAGGTGCTCACGCACACTCGAATCCTTTATCCCGCTGCAAAACTCAAGCTAGATTTTCTGAAAGGAGCTTCTATGCACCCTCCCTCTTTTGGAAAATGTGCTTTCAGACATCACTCCTTCAACTAAGGCAAAGAGAGCCTGCAAGTTGCTGGCACTGCTGCTATCCTCTGGTGGAGGAACCTTCCTTCCCTTTCCCTTTCTGTCTCCCACTTCATCATCTAAGGATAAATGCAATTTTCTAAAGCAGATTATAAATAAAAAGCTTTTCTCTCCAGATCCGTATTTGCAAGTCCACTGATTTTTTTTTTAAGTTGCAAGGGTTAAACAACACCCACGGAGGTCTGGGAAATATTTTTTAAAAAATTAACACATGACAGAAAGCAGTCCAGGAATTCCTATCGGCACTGAAGAGTTAATGAGAAACACTCTTTTTTGCCCAAGATATAAGGACTCAAAATAGAAATACAGTATGAGGGCAGCATACCCCGATGGTTTTATCTTGCAGAATAGCTTTACACAGAACTTGAACTGACATGGTTTGTCCTAAATAACCTTCACAGGTTGCATGAAGTGTTTCCAGATCCTGTTCCGTAAGCACACACAGAAGGTTCCTTGGGATTTCTGCTCACTAAGGCAAGAGTGCCGGGTGGGTGGAGGTCAGTTAGTTACCTACAACGTTCTTAAAAACATAAACCCTACAGCTCTGCAGAGAAAGCTTTCGTGGGTAGAGGGTGCTGGCCCCTACTGACTCCCATTGAGGCAAGTTGAAATGCTACATTCAAAGGATGGCATGTTACAAAAGGCTTGGGTTTTCTCATTCTCAGTGCCCTGGGCTAGGTCTATATTTTCCAGGCTGGGACGGAGAGGAGATCAGGCTTACACCAGCTCCACCACTACCTCTAAAGAAAGGAACAAAAGCAAATGCTTGGCACAGAAGAAAAACAAAAAAAAAAACAAGAAACAAAAACTCCTCCTTTGCCAGAACCCTAAGGGTGTCAGTTCTGCAGGGTTCCTCTTCCTTTCCCCTGCAGTTAACTCGCTCCAGTGGCCACAGATGCTATTTTCTCACTTTGCAAAGGCCCAGGACAGGTTGGGGGGAGGGGTCTGTCTGGGTGCACCTCCTTTCCCTACCTCTCCCCCTGGCTTCTAACTAACCCTTCCCGGTCTCCACCCTGTCAGCTCTGCTGGAAGCCGGTCTAACTACATCCTACCAACATCACTACCAACACCTGCATCAGCTCTTCACTCCCACATATGAGCATAACTTCCCTTTGTGATTTAACGTTGGCCCGTTTGTCTCTGCTTTCCTTCCCTGGCTTCCTACTGGAGGGCGGGAAGGGTTGAGTGCATTAGGGAACAGCCTCCCTCCCATCTCAGACACTTACAGGAACACATCCAGAGCTAACCAGCAAGTCTGCAGTGAGGAGGGATCGCACTTAACCCTTTGAAGAACCTCAGGAGTCTATTCTCATTTGGGACCCATCAAACTAGGTGCCCTGACGCAGGACGAGCTATCACACCTGCCTACACTCCTACTCCACACACAGACCCAGCACAGGCCCACACCTTTGGCCCCTTTGAAGCCAATTTAAACCGTCTCCACACACTCTGTCCAAAACCTGGGATATAGAGGAAGCGGTTCACTAGAAGATAGGCGAGGAGAAAAGAGCCAGAGGGCAGAAAGAAACTCGGCAGTAAATTGTAGTTGAGACGGCATTTACTTACGAAATTTGGGGCTGGTGCTAGTTTCTAGGGTGGTGGTGGTCGAAGAGGAGGAGGAGAAAGAAGAGGAGGAGGAAGTGGAGGCGGCAGCATCCTGAAAAGGTGACAGGGTCCAGGAGGGAGTGGAGTCGTGGAGGTAGGAGGAGGTAGCATACGCCGCAGTGGGCCATGAGGGCATCGCCTGCGTACTGGGGGCTCCTGGCATCGGGGGCCGTGAGCCTGGCGTGCTGCTACTGAAGAAAGGGGCCGTGGTGGACAGGACCGTCGGGGGGGCCGCAGTGTTCCGAGCCGTGGTGGAGCGCGGGCTGGCCCGAATGGGCACCCGGTGCCCGGGAAAGCGAGTGGGCGCCCGCGTGATGGTGGTCAAGCGGGTGCTAATCCGGTTGGGCGTCCTGGAGGAGGAGGCGCCCCCGGCGGAAGAGGTGGCGGGGGACGTGGTGGAAGTGGTCGTTGTGGTGGTCTCCATGGCCTTGGGGAAAGAGCTGGGCTTGGAGAGGAAGAAGGGGTCCTGGCCCATTCCCTTGGAGTCCACCAGGTCCGTGGGCACGTACTCCTTGACGGAGCCCACCACGATCCATTTGAGCAGCATGAGACTGAGCCCCAGGCCGATAAAGCCGATGAACAGAGGCACCACGCACAGCCACGTCTGCTGCCGGTTCCAAACGATGCAGTCGCTACAGCGTAACTCCCGGGGGGGCTCGGCCGCCCCTTCGCCGCCGCCGTCCGGGCCCCCATCGCTACAGCGTAACTCCCTGGGGCGCTCGGACGCCCCTTCGACGCCGCCGTCCGGGCCCCCGCCAGCGGCAACCGCCGCAGTAGCCGCGGTGCCCTCCTTGGCCGAGGCGGCGGCTGCCGAAGCGGCACCAGGTGGCAAGGCAGCTGCCGCCCCTTCACTCATCCTAGGAGCCGGTCTTCTTCACCTTCGCTCCCCCAGCCCCCCGCCTGCCCGAGGGCCGCGCCAGAGGCATGGGGCCGCGCGGACCCGGCGGCCGCGGGCTCCAGCGGCGACGGCGGGCTACAGCGCAGGCAGTGGCCGCGGCGGCGGCATGCAAATCGGCTCCCTGCCCCCACGCCCCTCCCCCCCCCAAGAGGCGGGCGGCGGGCGGGGAGAAGAAGACTGGGGAGGGGACGCGGGCTGGGGAGGAGGCGACGAAAAGCGCGGAAGAGGGGCGAGATGAGCCCCGGCGCCGCGGGCCGGTCAGGGAGCCGCGGGACGCGACTGCAGCCCGCCAAGCGGCCTCCGGCGCGCCGGGATTCCCGGGACGCTGCTGATGCTGCGGGTGCCGATGCTGCTGGTGCCGCCGCTGATGCTGATGCTGATGCCCGCCGCCTGTGTGCGCTCCAGCCTCGCCGGCATCCTCAGGGCGCCGCGCCCGGCCCGCTCCCTGGGGCGCCCGGCCCCGCCGTCCCTGCCGCCGCCTCCGAGCCTCGCGTCGCCTTCAGGGACGCGGCCTTCCAGCTGCGGGGTGCCCGACGCCGGCGAGCCGCATTCCGACACAGGGGGCCGGCCTGGCGGCCGCTCGCCCGGCCCTGTGCACCGCGATCCTCAGCCGCTGCTCGGCGAGCCGGGGCGGTAAGGTGCACCTGTTCTTCTGCGGGCTGGCAGCCAACCCTCGGCCAGCACTCTCCGGGAGAGACCAATCCGAGCGCAGCGCGGAGGGCGAGCGGCCGGGCTCGCCTCGCTCCCGCCGCCCGCGGCTCTGTGCCGCCACTGCCGCCGCCCGGGAGTCAAACTCCGGCAAGCCGCGCCGCCGCCGCCCGCGAGCTGGGGCTGGACCGGTCGGCCGGTGGGCAGAGGACTGCAAACAGCCGCAGAGGTGCTGCTGATGGAGCTCGGCGAGCCGCGGCGGGGGTCCTGGGGGACGTGGATCCCCGGACGAGGGCTGCTCCAGGCAGGCTTTCGCAGCCAGGAGGGTGCCGGTGTGTGTGCGGAATCGCCGCGGACCGGCTGGGGTTCGGGCTGAGTAGCGCCTCCCACCAGCACCTAATGGTGCTTTCTTACTGAGCACAAGATAAATAAATGATCCAAGTAGAACCCACTGGAGATGTTTAGCACAGGCAGCTCGTGATCAGCAGTGAGTAGGTCTCGGGTGTGGATCGTGCCAGGTCAGAGACTGAAGCTGCCCTGCGAGCGCGCGTAGGCGTGTGAGGTGGGAGGGCCGTGCTGCGCTCCTCTGCCCCGCCGCGGTGCGTCTGGATGGAGAGCCACCTTTGCCTAGGAGTTGGTGAGAAAACGCTGGGGAAGCAGCCGACCTTTGCGCGACCAGAACTCCAAGCCATGTATAACTTACCTTTTAAAAAGTATTGCCTTTAAACGTAGACGTAAGCACAGGTACACAAGTCACAAGGCCAGTGCTTGTGAGGAGTAAAAATGTGAACACGGTTCCGGTTGGTCTCTCAAATTCCATGGCCAGTTTCTTCCCCTGGATGGTGAGAGACTTGAGTCTCACCAATCTCAGGTGCTCTGAGGCACCTCCCCAGCGGACACGGTGGCGCAGAGAGGCAGAAAGGGAAAGAACCCTTACTAACATGTTACACGCGGATGGTGCAAAACCTCGCTTGCCAACTCTACCCAGGTTTCCTAGGTTTCCTTAGGCTAGGACACATAAGAGGCGATTTGTGTTTTTTACGTGTGTCAAGTCAGAATGGGAGGTTGAGAACGTCGACCGACCCCTCCCCAGCGCTGCCTGATGCACTCGGAAAAGATGAAGTTTTCTAGGTATCCATTTTATTCACGGGTGAAGACAAACATCTCTAAGGAGATGGCAGAAAGCAGAGGCTGCATTGAAAAAGGATGCCCCTGGGGCTTTGTGCTACCAGAGTTCTTTGCAGAGACATGATTAATAAATTATTTTTGATGGAAGTAATGTGGCTGTCACCTCGTTCAGCTGTAACACTGAGACTTCCCCCCATAGGAAAACCTTTGGTTTTTAATTTGACGGAACATGCCCTAACCTAGTAGTGCTGAACTATGGTTACAGAATTGCGATGGGGGAAAAAAATTCGTTGAATCCATACTCCTTTGACTTTCTAATGCGAAGCACAATCTTCTTAAATAAAAATTAACCCGTCCCAGCCTTTGATGGCTGCTAGGCATCTGCCCCCAGCCCTTCTCATGCAATAAATAAAAGCTGTTCCACATTATAGTAGGTCCTCCTGTTGGCTACTTGAGACAGAAGACTGCCTTTCTACAGCACTTAGTTCATCATTCCACACCCACACCCACCCACCATACGTATTCTCGGCCTTCCTGCTCACCCACTGGAATAAATCCAGAGTACAAAGAGAGGTGCTGTAATGCTGCCTGGGCAAATGCTCCCTTTACTAAAACCACAGTTGGACAGTGTCCACCTCTCTCAAGGCTTCCCGGTGCCTTTTTCACCTCTCTCTCCCAATTCCCTCTGCTTCTCCTTTCTACTTGGCTTTAACAGTTTATTCGAGGTTCCCTATTGAGTTCATTTGCTCCTGGAGCCCATGCCATTGCACTCAAATACCCATTAGCTGTTCTCAAAAGGAAGAACCATCTCCAGAGAGAGAGAGAAGGAAAGTCTATTGCTTTGATAGTTTTCTACTAGGGAGCAGGTGGTAGCTGTCCATTAAAGAGTGTTTATTCATTAACTTGGAGTTGTAGTGCAAGGCTTTCTGGTAGTAGGTGGTAAGCACTGTGACTGAAACAGGGGAGGAGCTCCACAGTGGAGCCTAGGTCAAGTGGTGGTCCCTCTTGCTGCTAATGACCAGGGCTTGTCAATTTACTTGGGGGACATTAATCTTGTCAACCTGATGGCATTTAGAATTACCAAAGAGACAAGTCTCTGCATCTTTCTATGATAGGTTTCCTAGATTAGGTTAAGTGAGGTGGGAAGACCCACTCAACTTGTGGTTCATGGGCTGGGAACCAGTAATGAATAGAAAGGAGAAAGTTGGGGGCTGGAGAGATGGCTCAGCAGTTAAGAGCACTGTTCCAGCACCCACATGGCTGCTAACAATTGTCTGTAACACTACTTTCAGGGGCTTTGACACCCTCTTCTGACCTCCACAGGCAATGCAGAACATGGGTACACTTACATACATGCAGGGAATACATTTATACATATAAAATAAAAATAATAAATTATTTTTTACAGAAGGAGAAAGTGAACAACACCAGCATACATACATGACTCTCTTATTCCTGTGACTGTTATTTACTTACTGGCTTCACACTCCTGCCACACTATTCCTTCCCTCCCATGACAGACTATACCCTCAAACCATGACCCCCAATGAACACTTCCTTCCCTACGTTGCCCTTGTCAGCTGTTTTGTCAAAGCAATGAGAAAAGTAACCAAGAGTGAGGAATAGCCTGATTCTGCTGACTCATAGCTCACTGAAGAACCCTGGACTATTCACCTGTAGTCTCTTTTAAGCATTATCACCTTCCTGTAGAGAGTTGAGGGAAGTCAGTTCTCCTTTCAATGATAATAAGTCACAAAGCTGAGAAGGACAGGGCCATCTCTGAACCCTTATTCCTGAGACCCCAAGTTCAATTAGCTGTTAGTCATTTACTTTCTGTCTTTGTTACATGATTGTTTAGGGTCCCCTCATCATTAAAAATGCTTGATAAAGGCTTATGGGAGTAACCCTACTGGAAAAACACTTCCAATATGTTGTCCCATAAAATATTTCAGTCCCTCAAGTCATTTGATTCCAACCAGAGCTCTAGGAAGGTACCTGAGGCAGTCCACCCAGACAGCAAATGATCTTAATTTTAAAAAATCTTTCTCGAGCAAAATTCTGCCTTCTATTACCTTCCTCCTTTCTTCTTAGCTCACTGATCATGAACACGATGTGAGGCATGGAGGGAACTGTAGAGAGAAAGACCCCACCTTCATGCGTTTATATTGTAGTGAGATGGACAACATGCAAAACACACCAGTGTGATGCTTAATTTTTGTTGTCAACTTGAGATAAACAAGTGTCACCTGCTACGAAGGAATCTCAGTTGAGGGATTTCCTACATCATACTGGCCTGTGACCATGCCTGTGAGGAATTGTGTTGATTGATGATTGATGTGGAGGGCCCAGCCCACTGTGGGTGGCACCATCCCTAGGCAGGTGGGCTAGCAGAGAGAAAGGGGGCGAGCAATTCAGTAAGCAGTGTGCCTCCATGGTTTCTGTTCTAGTTCCTGTTGGAGCTCCTACCACGATTGTCCTCAGCAATGCATTGTGACCTGGAAGTATAAGCTACATCAACCCTTTCCTCCCAAAGTTGCTTTTGTCATGGAATTTATCACAACAGAAATCAAGCTTACTAGTATATAGGAAAATGAGAAATGCAGTTTGGACCATAAAAACACACTTGGCATGATAGTAGACAGCATCTCTAGTCCAAATATCTCTGATTTATCATCCCATTCTCCAAGATCATGAGAACTTCAAACTCCTAGCAATAGGGTACCAGAATGTTCTTTTGGTTAACTGTAGACTGGATAGATAATATAGTCAGGTAGAACCCAGTCTGCTGCATGGAATCCGAATATCCTTCCTAATGCTCTCTGGAATCAAGTTTAGAGGCAGTGTGATACCTGGACATATTTGACAAAATAAACATTTTTAAAAGGCTAAAGTTCCCGTACTTCAGTATGGCTGCCCATTTCCTCTCTTTTCGATTCTGTCTGAGTCTGAATCTATGATTAAAGTGATAATTTTTGTTCAAAAACATATTCTTTTCTTCATGCTCACAAGTAATTTCATTTGTTTCTTGCAGGGTTTTGATCAATTCAATGTATAAGATCAACCCAGAAGGATTCTAGAAAATCCTCCTGTGGATCAAAGTATTCATAACATCATAACTTCAAGTTTTCCATCGAAATATATCACAAATAAAATGAGCAATAAAATACATGAATTATCCAGAG